AATATCGGTAAAGACTACAGTGCAATTAAACAACTGTTAGTAGATCTGTGATCTACTAATCAAATTTTTAAGTTATGAACATGATAATTAGACAAAATTAATTTTAAGTACTTAAAGTTAGAGTCTTGGAGGTTTTTGGATAAAAATTTGACGACGGTGCAGATAAAAATTATACCGGGTCTCACTAAAGGACGAATGGTCACTTAGTGACATGGCACCCCCACATTAGGGCACCACCTTCCCTTGGCTGACCAGAATTTGCAGCCCCCCTTCTCTTCCTTCTCTTTAAAATTCAACTTTTGAAGACTCTCTCTCTTCTCTCTAAGATTCCATCACCTAAACCTCTCCAAAACACAAAACCTCCTTCATCAAAGTTGTTCCTCTCACTCTCCTCTTCAAAACCATACCATTTTTATGGTGTGAAGCCAAAATTTCGTGGTCCTTAACCCTTGGTACAGCCACGGTTTTGAGTGGATTGAAGGCCATGGAGTTGTGTTCTTGAGCTTCCTTGAAGAACCACATTTGCTTGCTTGGTTCCTTTGATTTTTGGATAAGTCCTCTTGATTTTTTTTCATAAAAAACCTCATCTTTCTTCTTGTGTTCTTGAGCCTAACTCATGAGCATGTTCATGAAGGTTTGTCCTTGCTTAAAGGAGGGTTCTTGGTGGAAAAAGGTGGAGACTTGAGCTAAAGGAGGAACCTTGAACATGTAAGCTCCCATTTGGGAAACATGAACCAAAAAGCCTCCCTTTTTCTTGTTGAGTGCCTCGGTTTTGATATGTTCATGAGGATAATGTTGTTTAAAATTTTGTAAAGTAGTGGTTTGATGAAGATCTTTAAGGGTGTTTTGTTTTGAACCATGGAATCATGGATTTGATGAGTAAAGGTGCCACCTTTGGACTTTTGTGTGTTGTTCATGTAAAAAGATGAACATGAACCCTATATAGACCCTTGATGATTCAGCCATGTCATGTAATAAAAAGGTTTGATGACAAAAAAAATGTGATTAAGTTGTTAAGTGTGGAAAAATGATTAAAAAGATTAACTAGGTGAGTTAACTCTAAGTAAAACTCACTAATCATGATTAATAATGACTAAAAACCCTAATTAAAATAGCTCATCAAATATGCCCCATAAAGTATATAAGGGTTTAGTTGTGTTAAAATTAAGGAGATGATGAATTAAGGGATTAATTAAGGGTAGGATTAATTAACAAAAGTAATTAAGGATCTAACTCTAACATTGGACTAAAGTAGGGTTTAGGTACATTAATTAAGTAATTAGTAAAATTTAAGTATCATGACATAATGGGACTAAGGATATCTCATAATGTGACTTAATAATAGAAAAATTCAAGAATTAATGGGAATTAGGATTTATAATCAAAAGTAATTAATATTTGTTAAGTAAACACATTTAAGGCTAAGTAACTAGTTTTTAGGCGAAATTGGAGAGAGCATATCTTCCTCCACAGAAGTCATATAGGGATGTGACTTATATCAAATTGAATCTTGAGATGTTAGCTATGTGGTGTCAAAATTTGGTATCAATTGAAGATGTATTCCATTTTTTATGTTCGTTTGAGTGAAGACTGCACAGGGAGGCCATGTGGAGGGGCTGTACATGGCTGAAACTTCCACAAATTGTTTCTCCCTATGTGCTTACTCAAATTAGGCTTATAATATGTATAATTAAAGATAAATGTTTCTAGTTGTCTGCATAAAATTTGAGAGCAATTGGTTTAATAGAGTTTCCAGAATTTCAGAAATGGTAAAGGATGTTTAGGGCCATGATCGGAGTTGGCAAACAGCTTTGCTTGTCCAACTTCAAATGGTGATAACCGGAGCTAGGAAACTCCAAATGAGGCATGTGATACCTTTTTGGAAAGGTAATTGAGTCTAGATTAACATACTAAAATATGAAAATTTTATAAGAAGTGAGTCGTTCCTAGTAAATAGAAAATAGAAGCATGTACAATTATGGAAAAACCGTAAAAGTGATATTTAAGCAAAGTGGGCTTATGGGAACCCTTAGTAACTTATAATAACCATAAATATGGCTTGGATGAGTTGAAAATAATCAAAGTTACCTAAGTGAGCCTTGCATGCGATTTTAAGCTATGTAAGTAATTGAAGATTAAAGTGGCTTGTAATAATGCACTAAAATATGTAATAAGTAATAATTGGTCTAGACTTGTAATGGGCATATTATTGGCATATGAGTATAAAAAGTGGAATCATTAAATGATTAAGTCGTGGATATGACTTGATTAATTAATATGTAATTAATAATGTGAATGGTTCCTACTCTATGTGTGCCTAGAGAACCGTGCACTTGAGGACTTTGTTGGAGCATACGTATTATATTGGAGTGTGGGATTGTGCTAAGCTCCCTAAGGTAAGCTCCTAGTTCTAGTTGACTCCTCTCTCTTGTGGTCCCACCATGATGTTGGGCATTATGGATGTATTGTATGAAAGTATATGGTATGATGTATATGTGCATTCATTCACATTCATATAGATGTTATATGATCTTGATGTTATGATGATGCACTGATGATATATATTATGAGGATCCTAGCCAGTGATCATGGTATGTAGGCTGCCTATGACTTGACTCTGGGAGCTATTTCATACTGAGGTTGTGTTGACTGTCTATGGTTTGACCCTGGAAGTCACACATGTGTAACCGTCTATGGCTTTGACCCTGGGGTTACACAAGGATGATATGATGATGCTATGTTTATGTTGTATGCTTGTATTATATGCTTTATATCTTTGTCATGCAAGAAGTGGGCTCAGGGGATTAGAGGATCCTCTATGAACCTTGAGCTTACTGAGATGTTGTTATCTCACCCCGTTTGGGGACATCATTTCAGGTACCCAGAGTAGTGGTAATGCCTCTAGGGGCAAGGCCCCCGCATTGGAGTAGTTGATGATGCAGCTGATGATTTTATATTATGTTTAGACTTGATGTTGGCATGTAGACTTGTTAACCTGCTTAATTATTTTATGGAGATTATTGTATGTGCTTATTTAGGATCATGATGGTATCCTTAGAGCCATGGATTATTTACTGATGCTTTTATACTTTGAATTAATATAGACTTGATGCATGTATTCAGTTAATTTGGGCATGGAGTCTTATCGTTTGTATTGATCCATTGAGGGGATTGGAGTCCGTGTGGGACCCATGTTCCCAGTTATCCGAAATACAGTCATTATGCTGTCCATAAGACTCCGTCAGGAATGACACTTGATGTCATATCTTGATGGTCAATGGCCACTAATACTGGCTCATGGGATTAATTAGTAGTTGTATGTTTAGATTTACGCTTTCGCAATATCTCACGTGAACGTTTTTAGAAATATTTTCAGAAAATATTTTGGAAAAAGTTTATTCGTATTTTCACAAGACTTTTCTTTAATTATTTAATCAAATCTTCCGCTGTGTACGCTGTAATATCATGAGGTTAACAACCGGAGTACTACGGGGTATTACAACATTCAGGATGGAGACAAGCTATGATTGATGAAATAAGTGCTCTTCAGCACAATGGCACATGGGATGTGGTCCCTCTTTCATCTGGAAAATCTGTTGTTGGTTGTCGCTGGATTTATACTATTAAGGTTGGTCCTAATGGTCAAGTGGATCGTCTTAAGGCTCACTTGAGGGTTTCGCTCAAGTATTTGGACTGGATTTTGGTGACACTTTTTCTTCTCTGAAGATGTCTACTGTTCACCTCTTTATTGCCATGGTTGCTATCCGTCATTAGCCCCTCTTTCAACTTGATATTAAGAATGATTTTCTTCATGGTGATCTTGCGAAGGAAGTTTATTTTAATGTTCCTTTCGTCTATTGTTATTTAACACTCCCTAACAAGTTTTTATCACAATTGCATATTCAAGACTCAAATTCCTCATTATCAATTAAGCTCAAACAACTTTGTGCTAATTCATCAACATACTTATATTCAATCAAATATTCTTTTAGCTTGATGAGTTGTGATCTCAACGTATCAGTAACCAAATGTTGCATTGCGAGCACCCATCTTAATAAATCATTTTATGAATGTTCCTAATAGGCAAAGTTACTTTGAATTGCCTTCCATTTTTGCAATTTATGCTTTCTTATAAGAACTTTTTATCTGTAAAACCAAAACAGAGATATAAATCGATTGATCTGCTTACACTAAAGGCAAAAGTAAGTGCAGATTAAGTTTGAATCAAGCTTGCACTTATTCAAGGAGATCATTGAGAATGGGCATTTATGTGACCCTTTTAACTTTTGATATTTTTATTTGTAGTTCTTCTTTGTGAAAAAAATATAAAATCATTGATATAGTCTTAGTACGGTGTTATTTGCCAAAACTAGTTTCTAAGGCATTGTTGTCTTTTTTCTCCAGATTGTTTGTAAGCAATGAAAGTGCAAGAAAAATCTCAAACATAAAGTTTCTCTGATCCTTTCAAAATATAGAAAATGATCAAAAAAATTTCCACTTGCTTCAAATACCATATCTTCATTCAATATGCATAACAAATCATCCTCTATCCCAAAGATCATGTGTGATTTAACACATACTGAAAAAACTTCAAACCAAAAGTTTGCAGACTTTTATCTATAGAGTTACATTTTATTTCGCCTAAGAAAGGAAATAGAAGGTTTATACTTTATAGTTATACATATTTTCATTCAATCGCAAACTAAGGAAATTATTATCATTTCATTACCAAATTGAAAATCTATTTTCTTCCCAACAATTTTTGCTATTTCCACTTGTCATAGTCAGGATAGTAAAATACATTTTTCAATGAAAGCCTCCTTCCCTTATTCTTCTATATATTAAAGTCAACCATAACTACACTACAATTATTTATTTTGGAGTTAATTTTAAAGTACAAATAACAAATAACAATGGACATGCAGTCATCATATATATATTCATACATTATTGCTATAGACTAGCATATTTCAAATGAAGAACTATGGATACTTCTAAAAGTTCATCACAAATTCAAACTGTTCACATTACACAGAACACAGATTACAAACTGTTTAATTTTATATGATTTTCTAAACTTAGTATACAGCAAATTGAAGACTAGAAAAGATAGAGAAGACAACTAGTGTGATTTCCAAGGAAAACACTGCAGGTTATTGCAAGATTCTGTCCATGTACTAGTGCAGGTACCTCCAACTCCATCACAACACTTGCAAACAACTCCAAGGGTTGCAAAAATCTTCTTGTACCCTGCAAATATTGCATCATATACAAAAGAACAAGAAAGAAGCACACAATAAAATAAGCAAATATATAAACAGAACCTTTGGGAGGAAGAAAAATTCTGAATACTAATTACCTTGATCAGATATTAAGGAAAGTGTCCTTCCTTCTATAACTGATGGTTTCTCTGCAATTGAAACAACCATGATGATTAGTAGCATGAACACATGATGTTTGTTCATACCCATATCATGTAGCTTGACCCAAACTCTTTTTAAGTGCTTAATCTGGTGAGCTTCTAAAACCTCAGAGTTAGAGGTTCAAGAGCTATGGAGCATTGCAGAGTTGGGAGCATTAAAGGACTAAACTTGCAGGATGGGGTGTTTCCTAGAAAGTATGTGAGCCATATGATTGTTATCATTATATTCTTAAAATATGAAAATGAAAAATAAAAAGTGAAAGTGACATCCATAGTTTTGTAACTTTTTATTAATGTGCTGTGGGAAAGAAAAATTGGTTTTGGAATTTTATTTTATTTGGATTGGACGATAGCTTGGGAGAAGACGTGTTCAAATATTCTATCTTCTTATATAATTCGAGACTTTCATTAACATATAATATATGACACAAAATATCAGTATACATGTCATTGTATCATGTGTAATATATGGGGCAGGTTATATTTATAAATTTTTTTGTTTACAAACTACATTAAGTACAATTGGTTATACTTTAATCATGCAGTGTACGACCGGTCATACTTAGTATAATTTACAAAAAAAGTTTGTAAACGGATCTTATCTCATTATATAATAATATTTAAATTAAATGTAAACTGTTGAAAACATTAATATAAGAATAGAAATTATGGGTATGTTTGAATTTTGTTTTTAACAAATATTTTAAATTTTAGAATAAAAAAATAAAAAACTTATTTAATAAGTTCTATTTTTATAAAAATAGTTCTAAATATTATAACTAGGAAAAACTTTAAAATATTCTCTGAGTTTTCCTAATTCTCACTTAACCCCCTCACAAATTTTTTGAATCATTTATATCCTTATTTAGATTTTTTTTATCACTTACCCCATGACTTAAAGTTTCTTTATCATTTACAGTAAGAGGTTAAATGATAAAAAAACTTTAAGTCAGGAGATAAATAATTCAAAATTTTGGGGAAGGGGTAAATGATTCAAAACTTTAATTTTTAGAATCAAATTTAAAAATCATATATTAGTTTGTTTTTTTTGACTTTTAACTTTCAAAATAAATAAATAAAACACAAAAAACACTTATTTCATTAACTATTCTATAAGATAGTTTTAAGAATAAAAAAAATAATATAAAAAAACATAATCTGTACCTCTCTGTTCTTAGTTCATAATAATTTTATTTTTTTTGAACAGCTAGTTAATAGTATTTTGTACTCTTGATTAACAGTATTTTAATAAGAAGACATGAAAGTTGCTGGAAGAAGACACACAGCATACCACACGTCTTCCGCTTTGTTACGTCTCTTTGGGGGCTCAGAAGTGAGAAATCGGATGCCACTTTCCTTTGTTACCTTTTGGTTTTAGTCCACATTGAAGTCAATTTGTGTCTTTTTTTTGTTCTGGATAAAGGACAAAACTTATAAGATTGTTCTTTAGCTCTCTAAATGTTGAAATTTTGATATTGTTTTGCATTTTCACACTTTCCACGTAGCACGACCACTCCAAACAAAATGAAATGTTACTAAGTAACATCCTAGAGGTTTCTTTTTTCTTTCTTTTTTTCTTTCGAATCAGCGCGAGTATAAGTGAAAATGAATAAATGATAAGAGAAAATGAAAATCGATGAGAACCTGTAAATGAGGACTAATCTATCTGTTGATATACTATATGAGCTACTCTTTTTCCTAACATTTTCTTTAAATATTCCTGTATTTATCTTAATTAAATTATTTTTCATTAATTTACTTTAATTGATCTCTTTCTCACATAAAATAATAAAATCTTCCAAAAATCAGACATCACTTTAATTTATTAATTATAGAAAGTAACATTAATTCAATTTATATATATATATATAAAACACCAATTTAGTCGTCTAATCATTAAAAGTACTATTTGTTTAATTCCAAGTTTTATAGTCCTCTATACAAAAATAATTTTACTGTTAGTTTCTATAATTAAAATACTAAATTAATGTTCAATTTTTTTCACAAGATAAAAGTGATAACAGTTAATACTTTTTTTTTTTGTAAACATAACAGTTAATACTTTAATTAAAAAGGAAGGTTACTATAATTGATATTTTACCTACATATTAATAATACGCATAAAAACCCTAATACTAAATAGAAGTTACGAAGCAAGATTTTCAGAATATTTCCTCGTTTGACGCCTAATATACTTTCTGAAATTGATTTTTATTTGACTTTTAAACTTTTATTTTAAATTAAAAATTAACATCAAATAAACAGATGTCATTTTATTTAAGAGGTACGTTCATCTTCAAGTAGACGTCGTTGAACACCTCAAAGACGAGAAAATTTAGTCCAAGAATGATTACGTCAAGCGTGTGAAAGCATCACATCACATATAAATTAAACGCATACTTATAGTTAATTATTTTAAAAAAAAATGTAAAACCGAAATGCTAAATAAGTAATTAAGTATGTAAGATCATAGAAACCAATACTAAAAGAAAAAACAAGTATCAAAACCTAAATAAATAAAACCAAAAATTTAAACAAATAGAATGATCCGAAAACATTTTTTTCTTTCAAAATTTCCCTAAAAAAATCTGGTTAATAGTTTTTTTTTTTGCCACAAAATAAACTGATCCAAATATATACTAAATACATTTTTTTTTTTTACAAATTTACAATCATCCGATTAACATATCAGCAATCATCAAACTAATAATCCTCAGATACGCAGGGAGAACTTATTAACACATTAGATTCAAGAGGTGACAAAAATGAAAAACCTTAGCAAGGGCAACTCAAAACCACTCCATGTGCATAGCATTTTGGTATTTTCACTTCTAAGTTTACAACAATATCTTGAGGACATTTACATGATCCAAATCCACTTCTCCAGGGAGCACGTAGTGATGCATAACACCAAGAACAATATGATTGAGCAGAACTTGCTCAATGTTCATTATTTTTCCCCGAGAAAAGGGAATATTGACAGAACAGGGGAAGGAAAGCAAGGTGGTGATATCATTACAACTATATGTAATCTGAGTCACCATCTCTCCGGAAATGTTGCAAATCTGGATGAGGGTCATATCCTGGCCTCCGAGGATTCCTGCAAGACGTAAGAGAAAAAAAAAGAGTCTGTTTATTTCATGTTATATTTCACAACTCATTTACCTTTGAAAAAACTGCAGTCTAAGACCACTTTCTTAGTTATTTGGGCACCAATTTTACATCACCAATTATATAATTTATTATCAAATCATACCCACATCTATCACATATATATTCATTAAATGAATTCCTAAAACAAATTATGCAAGAGTTGTTTACAAAATATGATGTAAAACTATTTACCCTATATTGAAATATCCTGATCAAATATACAAGCAGGAATGGTATCCATTTCAAGCAATTGAGTAGAGACATCAAATTATGCTCTAAGCATAATAATTTTACCAGCTAAATATCAATACCTTAAAGCCATAGCTAACATTTGAAATCATTATTTTCAAGACCTATCCATATAGTTTACCGTAGAAAAATGTGCTGCTTTTTTTTTTTTTTCCTTCTACCTTGATCACTACCCCTTTAACATTAATCCAAGTTTAGACTTACACCCCATTTCGCTTTCAGCATCCTACGTTAACAAAGACATAAAAAGAGAAATATGAAGAAATGCAAGAAAATGATAGGTAAAAAACAAGGGTCAAACATATAAATGACAGAATTGCTGCAACATACTGTATGACTATATGATGTCTTTTCCACCATACCTTGCAAATCTGTTGGGTTCAAAACCAGGAACACCAGGCGGACCATAGGGATCAAATCGAGCACCCGGAGGAACACCCCTGTTTAGATAGATTCATACCCAAATATAAGCTTCAAAATTAGCCACACAACGTAATCAAAGGAAAAAGGCACCCTTAAGGGCCAAAAGAGACTAGGAGTTCTTGATGCCTTGAGGCAAGAGGCGCAAAAAGCCAAATATCCCACTGAAGATAGACGCTAATAATAAAGCAAGAGTAAAATAAAAATTGTGCCACCCCCTATTTACACATTTCTCTTCTCCATTCTTTTGCAGCACTACTACTGCTGCCATTTTTGTTTGGAAAATATTTTTATAAATTGTTATTTTAAATTAAAAAAATGTACAAAACACATGCAGATTGATAGAAACGTGGTTCCAAATACAGCTCAGAATGCGGAGACCAAGCCAAAGAAGGCGGCCTTACAAGTATATTCTAGAAGGCCTACTCAAAGCCTAAATGTAGTAGGATGGAAGGTATGTGTCGAGCACGTGAGGGGAGGGACAGTTAGTTATGGTGGGACAAATTGGATCTGACAAAAGGGAAATATTTCCCTTAAGAGGTCATTTGGTTTTATAGTTTTTGAGCTTACGGCTTGGGAAGGCCTAGGAAGTTATAGCAGTAGCTCCAGAGCTAATGCTATTATATTTTGTGTATTCCAGTCCTCAATTTCCGCTAATACAATTTCCTAATAGTTTTGGCTCCCATCAATTTGCTGTTTTCATTGAGAATCTTCTTGGGAGAATGAAGATAGTGCATGCGAATCAAAATGACATCCCAGAGATTAGACGCCATCAATGAGCGTGTAGGTGCTGTTGAGTCCTCTCTCAGAAATCAGGAAGCATTGCTGGTGAATCAGGATCAACTAGTGAGGTCACATGACACAACACTGAAGGAGCATGCAGCAAAACTGGTTGACCGTTCAGCAAAGCTCAGCTCCTTGATTCTGAGGTCGTAAACATCACCAAGTCTATTGCAGCAATGCTCACCAGAGATGAGAGAAGGATTCCAGCGCCAACAGCAATCTCCAGGGTCACCATTCAACGTGTCTGGAAGCGACAGAGTGCAGAACCACGATAACACCGAGATTCAACTGTCGCACATCGATGACTATCATCTTACTGCGAAGCGTGTTGTGTTACCGACCTTCTCCGGTAACAATCCCTCTAGGTAGGTGATGGGCCTTTGCAGTTTGTATATCAGATAAGGAAGCCAAAGAAAAAGGTCCATGACGAAATGATCGTTGTGGAGGTTGTAACAAGGATAACAGAAATGAGGAAGTGGAAGGGAGAGAAAATGAGTAAGTTATGGGAGATTACAGGTGGCAAGCTGTGAATGGAGAGAGGAAGTTAGCTGGTAGTGGAATTGAGAGTGGAGTTGATTATAGTGTGGAAGGGTATGCAGGAATTGAGTCGATTCTGGAATAGGGAATTGGGAACTCTTGGGTGAGTTTGTACACTTTTAGAGAAATATAAAACTATTAATGTAGCCTCACTCGTCAACTTAAAGTTTTTTGGGTTGAAATGATTCTTTACATAGTATCAGAGCCAACATGACTATTCGATCCGCACCGCCCCCATTTAATTAATAAATATTTAAGTATTATAGAGTTTCTAATTACAGGTAGGTGAACTTGTGCGTTGTCCATCCCTTTAAGCTCAATGGGCTTTCGTGTGAAACGGCATGTTAGAGAAATATAAAATCATTAATGTAGCCTGTTTGAACTCCTAATTGCAGGACGGATTAGCCTCCCTTAAGGAGGATAGACCTATTCCAAGTCATCCAAAGCATACAAATCTAGGCCAACTGATTCTGTAGTTCGTGCAAAGTCCCTTGGATGGCAAAATAGGCTTCAGCTTTGGAGACATACTGATGGTACCAGATATGTATACTACTAAGAACGAGGCAACTAGAGACTAGCTCCTTTCAAGATTCAATACAATAAAAAAAAAAAAAAAATACTCCCCATTAAACCCGACTAGCGAGTGTGGGTGGAAGCAATCCGTGTACGCAGCCTTACCCTTGCATAATTGCAAAGAGACTGTTTTCTAGATTTGAACGCAAGACCTTTTAGTCATGAAAGAACAGCTTTACTACTATTCCGGTTCACCTCCCTTTCTCAGGATTCAATACAATACAGAGGAAAAATAAGCACTAAATTCAGAGACTACCAATTCGACAGAAAAACAAATGTGCAGGGTTCTTCATGGAGAGACTAAAAGAGGAGATAAGGTTGGAGGTTTATGCCATAGAGCCACCTAACTGTTACAAGATGATCTCCATTAGAAAGACAGAGAGGAAGGTAGTTAGGGAAGGTTCGACCAGGACCCCAATCACGTGGTGGAGGCAGTTCTTCCTCATGAGATGGACATAGAGGACCCAAATCCAATCAAACCAGAGGCTATCTTGGCTACTCATGAAGTCACAAACAAGGCCAGCAGGTGACAGAAAGGCTAATTATGTGGAAGTCCAAGCCTATTGAGGAGGCCACATGTGAAGAAGAGAGCAGCATTAGAGCCCAATTCCCCACCTTCTGCCTTGAGGACTAGACAGTTCTTAACAAGGGAGGTTGTGCTAGAACAGTGGTTCCAAATACAGCATTTGTTACATAACTTTAACCATTGTATTTTACATGAAAGCTGATGCTTTTTATGCGCTGGGGTCTGTCAAGCCCAGTACTTATTAGTCAGGCGCTCTTGAAGAAAAAGCATCCATGAGAAGCTTGACAATTACCCTCCCTTCCCTCACCTTAGAGCCCAAGGCATGCCTTGTGGGTTGTTGTGGCTTTGACTACATTGATCAGTCAAAGAGCAATAATGAAAAGAAAGAGATGTAAACAACTTACGGCAATCCTCCAGGAAAAGCAGGCTCTCCACCAATACCACCACCAAACCAACGGGGGTCATTAGGCCCTGCTTCCAAGTGTTGAACTCAGCATCAACAAATTTGGTACAGCAAAAATGATGCACGCTTACATATCATTAAATTGGAACATGTTAAACATACCTACAAGCATGCTCCCACCAAAGCCATGATCACCCCTGCAACCCAGTGAGGAAAGTTTCAAAGGATATAATTGGTTTTTTATTTTAAACACAAAGGATATATTTGTTAAAATAGGGAATTAACAACTGTGCTAAGAGACTGAAAAAGTAATATAAGGAAAAATATACCTTGAAGGATACACTCCCGCAGCAGGCCCAGGAACAAGATCACTACCAGAACCAATGGGAACTGGAGGGAAAATAATTCTTAAAAAAGAAAGACAAAAATATTAAAACTCAATTAATTAGTACAAAAGCAAAAGTACTTATATGCACACAAAATTAAAGAGAGCGATCATAAAGACAGCATTACATACACGCAACTGGTTGCTCCATTTTACAAGAAGAATCAGCAAAAACAGTTCTTATGAAGACCATACAGATCAAAAGTTAGACACATACTGAGGTTAAGTAACAGTACATAATTCCTTTCTACAATGTGGGAAGAAATAGTTGAATTCACCATTTTCCAAAGACTGGTCACATTAGCCCCAAAAAGTATGCTCATTACTCAAAATACTCAAAATTCACAATGAAGAAATTCACCTTTCATCATGAGAGATAAATATGGTATTTTTTTATCGTATACAGTTTTTCTTTTTTTAAATATCTAAGCAGAGCAGGCAACTAGGCATGGGGTACATGTGAGGGCATCCTTATAGAACATCATTATTTAAAGTCTGTTAGGTATCTGAAACTAAATCTGTATTATTTATGTATAAATTGTCTATATGTGAGCTCTGGCACTGTTACACAACAAGATATTGGTCAAGAGACAAAGTACAGATTCACGAAAATAAGAAAATACAAGACACTTCATAAACTTCAAGGGACCTGCTTCTGCCCACCCCAAAACCAACCTTACTTTTCTCCAACTCCCACATCCATCCACACCAACTCCCACCACACAGCAACACACACATACATACAGACTGCCTTCATAATTTCCAAACAAGGACCATCAACTATGTAACACCTTGATATTTATATCAGTGAACCTTGATGCTCAAAATAGCAAACAATAAGAGCGTGTAAAATCACAAAATTGCCAATCAATTCACCGAGCAGCATCAAAATGTGTTCAACAAATCTCATTGAAATGGTCAGACAAACATAGCAATAGGGAACCCTTACCCAGAAGGATGATTTGGAGGACCAGCGGGTTCACCAAATGCAGCACCAGGCCTATATATCCCTTGCCTTGTTCTGTCACTTGTTTCTGAGCTGTAAAAAAGCAATGTAACAATTTTGTAAAGAGGGTCCTAGTTCATAAAACCTTATGGCACAAAAACCTTCATATACAGGCAGTGCCATAGCACTATAGCAGTTCATCGCAACTACCCAAAATTAAAACAAATGTAAGCGCCAAATTTTCTCATATAACATTACTATAATATGAACCAAACAGGAAGCTGCACATAGATCCTTCAAAATATTTAATCACATAAAAACTAGTTCATCTCGCTATACTCTATAGTAGTACTACACTACTACTAACAAACATTATCCACAAAAATGATCGTGAGATTATATATTCATCTACTATCAGTTTCAGTTGAACAGTTCTTATATAATCACTAAATCACGCATTTCCACATAATTGAGTGAAAGTATCAAAAACTTTAAACTGATAATTTTCATCCACTATCAGCGTAAAAGTTTTAAACTCTTAAAGTTATATAATGGCCCGATTCATAAAGTTTCAATCATTTAATCTCAAATTATTTAAGGTCTGCATTTCCAGATTACATTGAAAAGGACACAGAGTTCATAAAATCCAAATTTACCTATTACTTGACGAGCTGGCATTGGCAGAACCATCTAATTTAGACAAGATATCCCCATCCATACTCTTCACAAGCTTCTCCAAATTCTTGAACTGCTGAGAATAATTGCTGCTCCCATCCTCTCCAGCATAGTCTCCAACACTGCACATGAAACAAAATACACCCATAACCCCGTTTTCGAAGTGAGCATTATTCAACACAACAAAGAAAACCCAATTGCAAAAATCCAAACTTTACCACACAACAACGCAATTTTTTTTTTCCAAAAACATAAAACAAATCCTTTACTTTAACTCAACGGTGTACAGGCTCCAAATACCCTCCAGACCATAACCCCATTTTTCCAAAGTAACACAATTTAAAGCAACAACTAAAACCCAGTTGCAAAAATCCAAAATTCTCAACACATCATCTAAAAAGAGTAAAATTTTCAACCAAAAAAAAAAAAAAGAACAAAGAATTTACAGCATAAAAATAAAAAACAAAAACAAACCCAACATCCCCATTTTCCAAATTAGCACAATTCAACACAAGGAAGAAAACCCAGTTGCGAAAATCCAAAGAACATCAAATAATTAAAATTTCAAACCAGTAATACTAATAATAATAATAATAATAACCAATTACTTAATCTCAAGGTGTAGAGGCTCCGAAGACCCTTCAGACAAAGCATGAACGAGCAACTTCTCGTTCATCACGAGGCACTTGACAAGCACTTTCTTCGAACCCTTTTCTGGGTTTGTGTAAACGAACGCATACTCATCGTTTAGCTCGTTCCAGTGATCAACGGATACCTCATCTACACACAAAACGCAGTACATGAATAAATATCGAAAAATTAAGCAAAAAATTAAAAAAAAAAAAAAGTAGAAAAAGCAAATGGAAAGAGGGTATTTTTATAACCATTGGAGGAGATTGAAAACGCATTGTCGGAGAGGGCCTCGGGGCCCGTGGCGATGAGGATATAGCCGGAAGCGAGGAAGGAGGAGTGAACGGCAAAGGCAATTTTGTCGTTTTGGTTGCGGAAGGTTGGCCTCGCAGCCCTGATCACCGCCAGCACCGACTTGTCACTCGCCATCGTCGTTTACGATTTTAGAACTAGACCACCGTCTTAAAGAAACCTGTAGAGAATTATGTATTTTTAAAATATATAATGAGATATGCATGATGAATTTAAAACAATTTAAATTTACAATTTAAAAAGAAAACTAATTAAAAATGACACAACTCATTCTTTAAAAGAGAAGAAAGAAAGAGACAAAATTAGAACTTACTTTAATACTTTAATGCACTAATATTGCTTATATTATAGGAGATAATATTATATATTAATTCTTATTTTTTGTGTGGATAAATCCTTTCTTTAATTCAATATATAGAACTGAATTAAATTTAAGAGTCTAATTTTCTATACTTTCTCTATTGTTCTAGAATCCTTTAATTATTGAATGTGATTTAATTTCAATAAGGCTCTTCTAGATTTTAGTAAATCTAATTTTGGATAAATTGTCTCTTTAGGCGTATCTCTAAAACTTATTTCAAATTAAATCAAATTTTTCAAAATTACACATGAAAAAAAGGAAACTATAAAATTTAAAAGGAAAAGATAAAATACGAAAAATTTAGACAAAATTAGTTAAATCGAGAAAAACAAGTAAAAATCTTGATGATAAAAATACGAGATAAGTTATTCTTTCTACTATTTTTTCTGCTTACTACTCTCCAATACTATTAGATTAGAATTATAACTAACATTTATCTTTCCCTCTCTTCTTGAGATTCTGATCTAACGGTATTGGAGAGTGGTAGGCAAAGGTAGGCAAAAAAATGGTAGAATAACATATCCCTAAAAATATACCATATGTTTTAATTTTTTTTTTTTTTGTATATAACCATATGTTTTAATTTCGTAACACATAATGCATTTCTTTTTTAGTTTTATTAGTCTCCTTTCACATAAGATAGTTATCTTATGTTGTAGAGATAAAATATGTGGGTTCCACCATTACAAGAAAAAAGAAATAGGTGTCTCCAAGAAAAGCATATTTCAAGGTATGAGGTAATTACTTCAATTCTACTTTCGATGCTCCAAGGGTTGCATCATCACTCTTCTTTACTATCTCTTCAGTCGATGGCTTCGCGTCTTCATTTGTAACTACTGCATTGGTTTCATGAATGACTTCTTGTAATAAATTTCCTTCCAATGACTCTAATTCCATTAAGGGAGAGCTTGCTTCCTCAATTGCTTCGTCTACAACATCTTGGATAACATCAATCTTGAAGCAATCTCCTCCGTCGGCAGGATGTTTCATAGCTTCAAAAACATCAATGGTCATCTTCTCATCATCTACTCTTAGCATCAATTTTCCTTCTTCAACATTAATCAAAGCTCTTGCAGTAGCTAAGAAGGGTCTTCCAAGAAGTAGAGGCATCTCAACGTCTTCCTCCATGTTTAATATCACGAAATCTGCGAGAAAGATAAACTTGTAATGCCTGACGACTTTCATGATCAGTGACTGTTTCCACAAATTAACAGAAGACTTTTTAGCATGTTTTATCCTCACTTACACATTTCTTGAGAAACTTCTCAGGAAGTCATTCATCCCATAATTGCTCCAAGTCAAGAACGCTTAACTATGGAGTTCTTCTGTTATGGGCTACCGAAAAGTAAATGTATCTTGTTAGTATAGGTAGCACATATTAATTCTTATAAGTCATTCTTAACTGTACAATCCCATACTGACCAGTCTCCGGATCCCTCTAATTCGGGTGTTGATTCGATTCATTCATGTACCTCTCCCGCTGAAACATTATAGTTAGCTCTTCCACTAACAATACATTTGATTGCACATTAGTTCTTCCACTAACCTACAATCATCAGCGTCCAGATGTTTCATAATATGTAGTAAAGTTTGTGAGAATTGTATTATCTAAAGTAAGGGTAGCAAACACACCCAAAAGTTTTTAAAAAGGAGTAATTTGGGCAATTCTTAAAAAGTATTTCAAAAGGTGATTCCTTATTAAGAGTTAGTAAAGGTAATTGATTTATGATGAAGGTAACAGAGAGGAAGGTGTCTCTATATACATATATATGTATATATGTGTATACATACACGTGTGTGTGTGTCTATATATATATATATATATATATATATATATATATATATATATATGTATTTTATATTCTACGGGTAGTACATAGTGTATTTCAAAAATTGACTATGTATTACGGGTAGTACATGATTTCTGAAGAGAGAAAAAAACATGTACTATCCTTAGTACATAGTTAATTTCTGAAATATACTATGTACTATTCGTAGTACATAATTATAATTTTTTGATCGACCCAATCTTTATATACAGTGATATTATACATCATTTTTCCTATATATATATATATATATATATATATATATATATATATATATATATATATAAAATAGGTAAAATTATTTTTCCAGCTGCTTGACGACTTGCTTCTCAATCTTCAAATCCTCCAAAAGTTTCCAAATTTCATCTTCAGGAATTGGACGTTTCAGCTGAACTTTTTCATAAATAGTAGTACTTTCTCTAAGAGCTGCAATACCCTCTCTAAGAGCTCCAACAATACCTTGGAGTGCCACTTTTATCCCTTCAACTTCTTTATCCTTTGACCTTTTAGCCCTTTTAGATTTAACCTCCTGACTGCGAGTATCTTGTACTTCAGGTGATGTAACTTCATTTTCATTGCCAACCTCTTGAGCACTCTCAAAGGTCACCTCGATGGTTTCTATTGACTCAGATTCTCTAGGAAATGACTGTTTGTTTGTAATGTCTTTGGCAGTCTCAACATGTTGTCCAGTGACTCTATCTCCTCCACACATGATCATCAACTTGTCTTAATTATGTTTCGACTATCCCATTCACTCTTTTGCTTCAGGCTTAGCCTATAAAATAATAATTATTGAACAAATATTATTAAGCTAAAACATGAAAGGGATGAAAAAAAAAAGTTCATAATGTACCTCAATTAGCTTTTGCCAAACTTCAAGCTCAGCGCACCATTTTTTTGTAATTGGGTCCCAAGCAAATCCACTCAAGCCATTCTTGAACAAGTCATAACACTTGGAAAAACATCTCTTTACTAATTTCCAACAACACTTCACTTTTTTTTTTTCTCAAATGGGCTTCCATGTTGCAACTCCTTTGTGATGGTTTCATAAGCTTTAGAAGTGAAGGAACCACTAACTTTATTTCCATCATTCTGTTAATGCAAAAAAGCATCAACAAGAGAATCATCCATCTCTTGTATCCATGTCTCTCGCCTAGTCTCCGACTTAGACATGATTCCTAAATAAAACTTTAGCAGTATAGCAATTGAACATTAAGCATATGTAAAATTCAGCATTACGTAGAATCAGTGGCTATAGGGCCAGAATTGAAGCTCTCAATTTCTAACATCATGTGTTAGAATATAAAGGGTTTTGGCAACTTGTTCCTCTATACTTACACATTGGGTTGATTAGAGACCAACCTCTCGTTTTAACATTGCACACAAGTTCAAAAATGCTATAGACCCCATTCTTATTATCTTTCAACCTTCACTACTAATAATTCACTTCATTATTTTTTCGCGTTCTCTCTCCTTCTCCAAAATCAACATACGATCAACTATCATGCTTTGAGAATGAATTTTAATCATGTAGTAATAAACTACAATGCATATAACATGAACAATAGCCATTCGACGTCTTTCTCTCCATATAAACAATGCAAGATTTATCTTTTCTCCTGGATTATCGATCTTTAGTGGAAATTGAGCACTCTACATGTAGCAACAATGCTGATGTAAGTATGAAAGATAAACCTTTTAATTCAACTCTACATAGTTATACCAACAATTAATGGCAGCATATTCCTCCTAGTCACTTTACTACCTATTTTCAACCTTTCATAGGCCTAAGCATTTGGCAAAACTTTGGTCATATAGTCCTATACTCAAAATTTGTAGCTTAAAGACAAAATTATCGTCGATCTAAGGCATAACTAATAACAAGCCAGTAAAATTGATAATGACATGGTTATTGGAGAAGCTGCTCAATGGGTGGGCTTGGCCAGAAAAGGGCTATGAAAGCATGAAACAGTGATGGGAATTGTGCAAGCATTGCATACTTCAGTGGTGCAACAAATTAGTAAATAAATTTTTACTAATTTATGCTAATTAAGTGGACTTAAAAATTAATGGGTATTATAGCATGAATTATAAATCAGTGAAATTGATGGCACAGTGTGTTGGTGATTCAGAAGCTTGTGAATGTATATGTTTTGTTTTTCACTAAATTGTAACAAAATATATGGGTAGTTGCAGTAGTTTTGAATCAGTATAGTAAAAGTTGGTATATCAAACTATATACTTCTTTCTTTTTAACTTGTGTTTGTTTCGGTTATTTTTCCATTACAATTCTCAACTAAAAAATGGCAACTGGGTTCTCTGCTGTATGCACAGTTTGGTTTATTTTATGAATGATGTATCAGGATCACCCTTGCTTTTTTGATCTCACTTTTATCACCCCAAAATTAAAAACCAAAATAGAATATGAGTGAAAATTTGACAAGTCAATAAATAGTTTAATTCATCTCAAAAAACTCGAAACTGAACTTCCCTAGATGGGAGACTGTACCTTTCAGTCCAATATAACTCGTGAACTCATAAACTGGGCCTCCCAAATTTAAGGCTATGTACCCCTAAACCGAGTAATACTAGGCCCAACAAGCCAAATGGAGAGCTCGATCTACACCAGTTTAACCTAGATTCTACTTGGCCTAAGGTGGTGCCTATGTGTCTTGCATAGAAATTAAACTATTCATATTAAACTATTCAAGAAATAAAATGATACAAGTGAAATACAAGAAGTAGGAGTTGGGCCATTGGCTGAAACAAGAATTGAGGCCCAAGGAGAAGAGGAGAATAACAATGCAACAGATGACAACATTGCTGGAAGGAAAATCCAAGAGATTCACATGTACTGAGGTGTAATTGGTTGTGGTTCAAAGATAGTCAAAGGAGACCATGTTAGTTAGTAGTTAGTGTCACCCACATTGGGTAAGAAACAGAACATGTATAAATAGGAATCCTTGTAAC